CTCTGCATCCTAGCTCACAAAAATATAAGTTCTGTCAAGCTATGTACAGTCATTTCAAAAACTACACACAAAGAAAAATCTTTAGACCCCTGGCTTCCTCCTGCAAATGCCAAGTCCAGTTGCCCCATTCTTCTCACTCTTGTCATCCTGGGTGCCTCGTGGCCACTGGCATGTTTCACTAAAATGTCAGGTAAATATGAGAAGATGTAATTTAAAAGACTTTTCCATACATCTTATCTGAAGAGAAAGTTTCATTCAAAGAACCCTAAGAGAAAAACAGTAAGATTCATTACTGATTTTAAGTTATACAAAAGAGTATCAACAGTTACTGAATTATTTTTGTTACATGCCAATGTAGTCAAGTAGCAAAAGATTTATGCTTTAGGATGTGGAGAAATAATAGGAGAAAAAATATCAAATTTTTTGGCAGGAGACCTGAAACTGAAGAAAATCATGTTAAAACCCAGGAAGTTATAAAACTCCTCAGTAAAATCCACATGGTGGGCTCATGTTACATTCATTCATAAAGTTGCTCGAAATGACAATCCCTGATACATATATGGATTGCATAGGTATCAATTAAAATAGATTGGGTGGGAAACAAGGGCTCATATGGGGGACGTTATGTAGTAGATTCTTGGTACTGGGTTCTTCACACAGGACTGGCAGCACTTTTCAGAGTTCAAGGTTTAATTTGAAAATGTAATGACTTCCATTCTATTTTAAGGGATATTTGAAGTGTGGGAAAGAAAGGGGCAAACCTAACTCAGCAGTTCCATAGGCTCAGTAAGTCACCTTCCATCCCACCCTTCCACCCCATTATGAACACTACTGCCTCAGAGGAGAAAGCATAGTAAACCATGGTACAGCCAGAGTCACATCAGTGCCTGTACTTCATGTACCCTCAGCATGCTGCGGAAACTTAATCTCCGCCTGTGCACAGGAGCTCCGGGCTCCATGAGTCTACAGAGCAATTCCTCAGTAACTTTCAGAAGGGAAGTTGCAAGTAGGAAAAATAGAAAAAACCCAAGCAAATACAAATTTGTTGGACTTCCCACCATTTTGAATAATGTGCCATGAGGAGACTGAAGTGCATGAGGATATTCAAGGTCTTAGTTATCTGGATGTAACAAGCTGAAGAAATCACTTTTCCACCCAGAATCTGGATTCAGAGGCTATAGGGAAGGAAACAGTCAATGAAAGACATTTAAATCCTGGTGCAAAAATTGCAGGAATACTGGCAGTCATAAAAGACCCTCAAAAATAATTTCACTTTCTAAAAATTATGAACTTCAGTTTTCATTTTCCGTTTTTGTGTTTTCTTTCTGTTTGCTGTCACTACCATTCACCTGGAGCTGTGAAACACATTTAGCATGAAAGACAAGAGGGTTAAATCTGAGAAAAAAAAATGCAGTGTGGCTCACACTGATTTCCCCCAGTTTTCAGTCCCATTATGACCAGGTGAGGCTATAGTTGGACCCTTGACCTCTTCTGTGCATAGGCACATGTAACTTTTGGGATGGTTAAAACAAAACCTAATTAAAATGGTAAGTAAGTGTGAATATATGTGTCCTGTTTTACAGGCTTGAAAACCTAAAGACCACAAATATGAATATCCTAGCAAATATAAGCATACTCTGTGAAATCCATTGCTCTTGTTCTCTAATTACTGTTCTAAATGAAGGACAGTTTCAGGTCATCATTTTATTATCTATCCACAAGTTACTCTTTCTGCAAAAAGATTTTTGAGGAGATAAGTATAGCTTGAATCAGGATACATGCACTACAGTTCAGAACTGAATTCTCTTCTGACCAGTAAAACTTGTCTTTGCAACCAAGCAGTATTTTAATGGCAAGCCCAGCATCAAATGATATAATCATGTCTATTTTTTGGAGTAAATATACATAATGAAAAGTGCATTTTTGAATGCAGACCTAAGTAATCGGAATATTTTCTACATGGCGCTAATTTAACTAAAATCAAAAGGGTACTTCTCCTGTACATGAAAACAAGTCTAATGAAGAGACCTGGAGAGTCTCAAGGTACTACTGTATTTCAGAAAGACAGCAGAGCAGCTGCAAACCAGCAATTGCTTTTGTGTCCAGCAGCCAGAAAAACGTAAAGTGCCTTTACCAACCTGTACAGCACATAATCAGCATCGCACATTGCTTTTTTAAGTTAGATGTTATTTGAATCCTGGGACTAAATTTGCCATCTTTTGGTAACTCCAACTTTGTACTGCTCCACTCTCCAAGGTGACATACACCTCTAGTGTCAGCAGTCTGAGGAAATCAGCAGCAGATCACAGGCTTAAAACCAAGAGTGGATGGGCAACGTCTGATTGCTTTAGGACCACTGAAAAAATTATCTTATTCAAAATGTTTTGATACAAACATAGTGGAAACTCCTGGACAACCTTTCTGCAGAGATTTTAGACTGACGCAAATAGGCACTGCTACTTCAAATACCTCTCTTGGGGGCAGGTGTGGATATTGCAGAGGATTAAGCAGGAGTGACTGAAACAGTTGCCATCCCGGGCTTCCTGGACATTCCCATTCTTACGGCAAAGATGACAGAAGAAAAAGATGGCAAAGGCTTGTGCTTAAAATGTTGAGTTTAAAATGCCAGTGCACAAACACTCTCCTGCGGCATTCTTAGATGTGGATCACAGACAGCTAGTGGCACGGTGTCAAACATCTGCCCATCTGCTGAGGTATGCTTGTTGATCCGTGCTGCACTGAGTGACCCTTGGCAAGTAACCTTGTGAGAAGTCCTGTTTTCCTTTCCTGCCTTTACCACAGACTTCCTGGGTGATCCCAGAGAAGTCACTTATTCCTCAGCTTTCCCTTCTGTCAAAAAAGGAAAACTAGTCCCTTCAAACTCCCAGCAATGTCCCAGGACTGACCTTATGCTCACAAGAGTCTATGACATGACTGAGGGGGTGGTTGATTCAAATACAAACAGGAGTGACAAAAGCTTTCCCTATTTTATTTTAGCACTTGAGGTTATTGGAGGTATTTCGTAAGAAATTCACCCAGCTAACAACACTGGCTGGTGGGAGTGGTGCATACTTTTATTCCAGAATTACCACTGTAGGTCAGAATTCTCTCAGCTTCAATATTCAGATTTGTTTCACAGAATCAGGTAATAGTGATTAACGGACCTTAGAGACCATTTAGTTTCAACCCCCTGCCGTGGGCTGGGACACTTCCCACTAGACCAGGTTGCTCAAAGCTCCATCTAACCCAGCCTTGGAACACTTCCAGGGAACCTAGCCTTGGAACACTTCCATGGGGCATTCACAGCTTCTCTGAGCAGCCTGTGCCGGTGCCTCACCACCTTCATGTCTAATCTAAGCCCACCCTCTGTCAGCTGAAAGCCTTGTCCTGTCACTACAGGCCTTTGTAAAAAGCTGCTCTCCAGGTTTCAACACTACTTCTAAAATCCTTCTGCTTTCTGAATCAACTACATTGGATATGTACTGTTAGCACTTGGGAATTCTGAATTACTGCTTCCTTGTGATTACTCAGTGACTTTCCATCAAGCTGGCCTTTATAACAGCTGCTCTTTTACGCTCTGTGGTCTAATTCTGGATGTGTCCAACTACAAATGGGCTCAGAATGCAGGGTCCAGATACTTTTGATAAGAACAGTAAATCTGACTAAATAGCCTCTGCTTTGTGCTGGTGCTATGCTGTCTCTGCTGAATCTGGCTGCCCTCTCCATATGCTCAGTACATCAGGGTTTCAACAGAAACAACTCTCCAGATCTTGGGATTGAGAAAATTGTTCATGGATGTACCGGGAAATTGGGAACAGAGTCAATGCTTTTTGACACAGTATCTTTTATTGCCAAAAATAAAAGGAAGGAAGGAAGGGGGGGGGGGGGAGGGAGGGAGGGAGGGAAGGGAGGGAGGGAGGAAAAAAGGAAGGAAGGAAGGAAGGAAGAGAGAAAGGAAGGAAGAGAGAAAGGGAGGAAGGGAGGAAGGGAGGGAAGGGAGGAAGGAAGGGAGGAAGGGAGGAAGGGAGGAAGGAAGGAAGGAAGGAAGGAAGGAAGGAAGGAAGGAAGGAAGGAAGGAAGGAAGGAAGGAAGGAAGGAAGGAAGGAAGGAAGGAAGGAAGGAAGGAAGGAAGGAAGGAAGGAAGGAAGGAAGGAAGGAAGGAAGGAAGGAAGGAAGGAAGGAAGGAAGGAAGGAAGGGAGAGGAAGAAAGAACAGACATATCCTTCTCCTGTTGGGTGCTTTTACAGTATGAAGAAGGCAACAAGGGACGTAACACTGGCAGAACATAACTGACCAGTATGGCACAGAGAATATCTTAATTTGCTGGCAAACATCAGTCACATCTTAACCAAGTTTTTCCATCACTGCAAGACATAGAATTCTTAGTTGATCTTGAAAATAAAAAAAAAAAAAACTTTATATGAAATCCAGCACCCCCGAAGAGCAAGCATTACCCTAGCAGGATATACAAGGGGTGAGGTAGTTCACATACCGGGACAGCAACACTAAAGCTGAAGGACCAGCCGGCAAGAAGTAACATAACCGATTAGCGTTACGGCTTAAACGAAACTTTAGCGCAGGGTCAGTTGCCTTAGGAGCTAAAGCGGAGTTTGTCCACGGAATACCCTGCAGCTGAACGGCAAACCCTGAAAACCCCTTGTTTACCGGGTTTCCGCACCCCTCGCAGGGCTGCCACGGCAGAGGGTGGGTGCCTGCGGGGCAGAGCCTGAGGGACGCCGCCAGCTATTGCAGGGATCAACCCTGCAGCCCCGGCCGCGCCGAGCCTCGAGAAGGGGCCGGGGGCCGTGCCGCCCGCAGGGCTGCCGTGCCTTTCCCAAGGGGACACGGCTGGGGCCCCATGCCGGTGCCCTGTACCCGCGCTGCAGCCTGCCCTCTTCCCGGCTGGGAAGAAACTCCCCCAGCCCGGTCCTGCTTCCCCTCGCCTCCCACCGACGGCAGCTGCCCCCCCCCCCCCAACCTGCGGCGTGCGGGAGGTGCGGTACGATCGCGGCCGGAGGCGGCCCCTCTCCGCCCCTCCCCGCCCTGTTAAACAGCCTGGTCCCGCCGGCAGCCCGCTCTCCGCTCCTCTCGCCCCGGCGCCGAGGGCCAGCAAGCCCCTGCCTCACCGCCTCGGGGCCGGGGCCGGCTCCGGCTCCCCGCGGCTGGGCGATGGTGCCGGCGCCAGGGAGTGCCCTGCTCGCCGCCCTCCTCGCCTCCTCTCTGGTCGCCGCGGGCAGGTGAGCAAGGACGGCGCGGCGGGGAGGAGGGAGGAAGAGGGCAAGGGGTAGATGCCCTTCTCTTGGGTCTGGGTCCTGGTCCTCGGCCGGCGGCTCCGCTGGTGGCCGGTCCCGGGCTGCCGTGCTCGCCCGCTGGTGCTTTGGTGTGAGCCGGTACGGCGGGCCCCTGCCCGCAGCGCCGTGTAGGGCGGCTGTCAGGGCGCCCAGCTCCGTGGTGCTGAACGGCGAAGGCTCTGCTGCTGGTTGTGTGTGTGTGTCGCTCCCATGCAGGGATCACAGCCGAGCTGCAAGGCTGTTTTACTGAGGGGGGAAATGGTAAATGAAGTGCAGCAATGAAAATCATAGAATGCCAGAATGGTTTGGATCGTACAGTTCCAATACCCCTGCCACAGGCGAGGACACCTTCCGCTAGAACAGGTTGCTCAACGCCCCATCCAACCTGGCCTTGAAACAATGATCCAAATAAGACAGCTCTACTGCCTATGGAAAGGTGTGGGCTGCGCTAGTCTTTTGTTTGCTTGTAGAAATAAATGCTTTAAAATCATCCTTCTATGGCAGTTGTGTTCTGCAGAGGCAGGTGCACCCTGGAAACAGAATGAGATCTTGAGAGAGAGTAATTAAAGACTTTTGCTCCAGATCAAGGCATTCCAGTGTTTCCTCTCCTAGTTCTCCAGCAGCAAATAAAAGGTGACAAGTGCTGCAGCAAGGGAGTAGCTAGTAAAATAAGAACACCGGGCACTGGAAAAACAGCACCTGGGGACGAAGCCTTCAAGATGTTGTGTGGTTTATTTCTTATCACATCTGTGAATGGGAATGTTTGTAATTAACAAGTGGCAGAGTGCTGGTACAGCACATGCAGGGCTACCAAGTGGTCAGCTCCTCCAGAGCTGTGGGTTTATCAACTCCAGACCTGCTTTTAGAGAAAACACACTTGTTCTCAAAGCAGAGCTCTGTTAAATTCTTGTGTTAGTTGTTTCTCCGTGTTGTGTATTTGCATTTGAAGCACTTTGAGAAGTGTAAAACTGCAAAACGAAAGCATTATCTCTTCCAGGGGAAAAAAAAAAACTACGGCCTGGAGTAAGCTGAAACCAAGAGCCATGTGTCTGGTAAAAATGTTAATTCACAGTAAGTCAGGAAACCTACAGCCTACCTGAGACTGTTTGCTCTACAGCCTATCTTGTCCAAGTTGATGTTGGATGATGGTGGGTGGCATCTCTGTCTTCCACCAAGACTGTCACTCTGCCTTTCCTATTGGTACGAAGGGGAAAGAGATTGAAAAATCTTGATCTTGGTTGCACTCTTGGATGACAAGGGTTTCTAATTTAAGAGCACAAAGAAATCCTGTCTGCTCTGAATAGTTAAGAAAAAAGACCAGGAGATAGAATTTGAATAAATTTTGAAAGAACAAATTAATTATTGTTTTTGTCTCTTAAGCTTTCATAACTGAGCTTTAAACTCTTCTGCTATAAGCACTTCCTTTAAGGAGTTTGGTGGGCAAATGAAGCCTTAAAGAAGGAACTTTTGCAAGCCCAAACTAAACTTCCTTTGTGTCTGAAGCTGGCTGCAGGCATATCTAAGGCAGCTTTTAAAAGATTATATGTGACACCTGTTTGGCTTTATCTAATATGAATGTAGGTGATTTTTTTTTTTCTAGAAGGAAGTCTCCCTTCAAATAAATTCATGTAGAAACAAACAAAACAAAAAACAGCCAACACAACAATCACACACACACAATGCCTTTTTTTGGCGAAGTGTTCAAATGCATCTCTGTATGGCATACACTCACAGAGGTTTTAGGAATTTCTTTCAAACTGCTAAATTGTGAGATACCAACTTTTTGTCCTTCTGGGTATACCAGTAGATCAAAATTTTAGACTTGGTGCTAGCTGGTTTTTTGCTAGCAACAATGTCCAGAATTTGTTTAGAAGAAACCTAAAGAAAGGGATAATATGCTGTCTTTGAAGTTAACTGGAAGCTGCTAATAACATAAATGAGACCTTCCCTCCCCACACCATCCCTGTAGCAGGCAGCTATTGTGTGCACAAGAGCTGACCGGTAGTGTCCTGTAGAGACCTTATGGAAACAGTGCACTAAATCTATTCAGCAGCTGTATCTTGAAGGAAAAAAAAGAAGACGAAAAAAGCTCCTAGATGCTTCTTTCCAGAGAAAACTTCAGTAAAGGATGGAATACAGAACATTAATAGGACCTGCAAAGAAACAACTGTATTAACTCAAGCCAGACCTGACTGTTAGCTGCCTACCTGGTTAAATCAGGCTTTTGAAGATTTGCTCGCACATCCTCTGTCACATAACTCAGTTCAGGCAGGGCTTACACTGCTCGTGATCACTGGTCAGGAGAACATGACAAGTGACTTTTTCCACTATTGGGATTTTTGCTTTTTTATTTTAGTTGTTACTGGTAAAATGGCTGCTAACAAGGATTACAATCCAGCACAGCTACCAGCAGGGTTATTATATCTCCAATTTTTGACTGCCCACTGGTATACAGACATTTCTAGTAGCTTGGATTTGGCCTAGGCCATGAACTAGTTTTGAGAAAATGATGCAATGTAGAGCTGTTTTCTTATTTTATAGAATGAAACAACAAAAAAGGGCTTTAGGGGGTGGCAGGGAGATTCTGCTGTACAAGCAAGTCCCAGCATCCAGGTGTGCTTTATTCACCCTCTTTCACTCATTACTGTACTTGTAATATTTTCCTTTGCAGTTGTTTATGTATTTAACCTATTGGGGATATCAGTCCTACTCTGTCAGTCAACCTCCACTGAAAGATCTAGCTAGCCAATTGATCTGTGGAGCAAGCAGACTTTCTGTACAAGTTTTATTATAACTACATGTTTTCTTTCTTTTAATGTCAGATTGACTAAATCACTGCAAGAAGTCAAAGGTCCTGTATAGAAGTTTAAGGTCTGTCCTCACATAACACACCCAATTTAGTCTGGCTGCTGCTCACGCTACCATCCTCTCTATAGGAACAACTGTTTTCAGCAGCTAAATAAATGGAACATAACTTCATACACATAACTTCATACCTATGTTTGTATGATTACAAGTAACAGTAGATCTTTCTCAGTTCATGAAAGAGACCACGTATCCTAAAATTAGGTAGGAGTTTTCTCCTGGTTCTTCAGTGCTTTTTAAGATTCTCACCCCTCTTGTGTCTGTGCTCATACTCTTGTATCTCCCTCAGAGTATTAATGGACAATAGCACAAGATCGAATTGATATAAATTGGCCTTTCTCTTAACAAGCTCTCTTCTCTTTCAGAGCTGCCCAACATGTAATAGGAAGCAATCAGATCCCCTCTCAGCTTTTGGTTTCATAGAATAATAGAATAGTTTAGGTTGGAAGGGATGTTCAAGATCATTCAGTTCCAACCCCTTGCCATGGTCAGAGACACCTTCCAGTAAACCAGGTTGCTCAAAGCTCCATCCATCCTGGCCTTGAACACTGCCAGGGATGGGGCTGCCACAGCTTCTTTGGGAAATATATTCCAGTGCCTCACCATCCTCACAGTAAATAATTTCTTCTTGGCATCTAACCTATATCTGCCCTCTTTCAGTTTAAAGCCATTCCCCCCTTGTCCTATCACTACATGCCCTTGTAAAAAGCTCCTCTCTATTGTAGGCTCCCTTTAGGTACTGGAAAGCTGCTATAAAGTCTGCCTGGAGCCTTCTCTTCTCCAGGCTGAACAACCCCAGCTCTCTAAGCCTCTTTTCACAGGAGAGGGGCTTCAGCCCTCTGACCATCTTCATGATGCTGCTCAAGCAGATCCACATCCTTCTTATGCTGGTGGCCCCAGAGCTGAACACAGTACTCCAGGTAGAGCAGAGTAGAGGAGCAGAATCTCAGCCTGCTGGTCATGCTCCTTTTGGTGCAGCATATGGTTGGCTTTCTGGCCTGCAGGCTGACATTGGCAGGTCACGTTGATCTTGAGTTTGAGCTGAATTACAATTCTCTGTAAAACAGGTAATTCTTTGTAGCTTTTATGATCATATATAAATCATATTTCTTCATCATGGATGTTAAGAACTGTGCAACCAGAATTCACAGGACTGTCTGAACTTCTGCAATTAATTTGCACATATGAGTCTGCAAATCACTAGCTTTTTATGGGGCTGGCTGATATTCAGAAAGCTGTTTTTCTGCAGAATCAGTATTTCATCATCCAAAGCAATAGCACTGTCAGGTATGGCATTATATATTTGATCCAGATTCTTCACGTGATGCAAGCTGAAGCAGCCCCTCTCACTTCACTGACTGATACTAAAAATGACTCATTCTAGCAGGAGACCTGGCTGTCCTTTTTGCCTTTGACATGTTCCTCATTAGAAAGGATTTACGTTGCATGGGTCATTTACTGCAGGTGAAACTTTCCCATCTCCCCTGTTATCCAACCAAATGTAACTTTGCATTCCTGTCTAGGAACACTGCTCTAGGCTTGGTGAAATGAAAATGCCTGATGGTGGATAAAATATAAGGGAAATGTACAACAGAGTATACGGAGCAATGGATTAAAGTGCATTTGCCTGCTGGAGCTAGTGTTTATCCTTCCTTATGCAGCTCAACAGCTCATGGGCAACTGGTGGCTGTGAGCCAGCCTGGCGTGTGTCGCTATGGTTCCAGGTTGGATTGCTGCTATGGCTGGAAAAAGAACAACAAAGGCCATTGCGAAGGTAACATTAACACTTTATGCTTGTTTCCTCTTCATCACTGTGTATTTAGTACTAATAAGGATATTTCATATATGTCTGACAGAAGTTACAGAAAGAAACCTTCTGAGGAGTAAAGTCTCTTAACTGTAACAAGTATATAAAATATGTCTGAGAGACCCTCCCCTCAAAAAAGCAGAGCTTTGTGTAAATAACACCAAACCATAAAAGATGTATTTAAAAATTCTTAGGTCCAAAAGGGACCATCTGTTCTCACTCCCTGCACAGCCCTGGTCAGTGCCTATACCATTACAGCTGCTAAGTACCAAAAATGCAGTGCTTTCTGATGCTATATATGGACTCCTAAAAATGTTTTTCTCTTGGATGGTATCCTTTACCTTCAGAGTACACAGCCTCTGAGAACCAGGGAGTTTTACCCTTTTAAAAATATAAAGAAATCCAAAGCAGTAAGTGCACCTGTCTTTGGCTTGGTGAGCTGGCCAGCATCCTGGGCTGTGGATTGTTGGCTTAATGAAGAGTCAGTGACTCTTAAAACATTTCTAATTTGTGAAAGGTTTATAGATCCCAATGATAAGGTGATGTGGAATCTCTCTCTTGCTGTGCTTGGGTAAAATGCAACAAAACCACAAAATACATGTTTTAGGAACCTTTTTCAGATGGTGCGCCTGTTGTCCCGGAATATTCGGCATTGTATATCTGGTGAATTTGAATAAAGCTTAGTTATTCATTGCTGAAAATCTACATAGCGGGATCTAAAAGGGAAAAATGCCAAAATGTCTCTGCTCTGTATGTATATAGCATGTCAGTTAAAAAAAAAAGAAAAATGTAACTAATACTTTCATTAATACTTCTGCATTGCTTAGTAGCACCTTTGCTTTAACGCCGATAAATACCTGTAGGAACAACTGGCAACTGCAGCTTTGACCAGCCAGTGCATAAGGTTGTCTTGGTTTAAAGCAATAGGTTTCTTTCATACTAAAATACATTTTTTATAAGCTTTTAAGATTCTTTTTTTTTTTTTTTTGACAGATTACTTTGAACTAGCTATAATGTAATTCTGCATTGTAAATCCAGATGCAGCAGTGTTGTCTGCTTCAGTGCTAACACTCAGCTGGTCTTGCAGCATGTTACTTTGCATTCAGGGATAGAGGTAGTGTTTAAAAAGCCTGAATCTCCAGAGTTAGTGGATCAGTTAGTAGTTAGTGGATTCTGACTGAATCTTTAAATGTAGAAAATATACTGGAATCCAGAAGTATGAATTTTACTACACAATAAATAGCACTGTGACTTTTCTACTTCCTATAGTTTGCACAACAGCTTAGTTACACAGGGTAGCAAGACGTGAAGCCTGGTGCATACTTTTTTGCTGTTTTTCCAGAGCTAGTCCTGATTAAAATGCATGTTTGGTTTGCTTTTCCTGAATAACACTCATGTTAACAATCACATTGACTTCAGGAGCCTTAAACCTTATAAAAGTCAGCACTTAATTTCTGGCAAATGGTCCAGAGGGCTGAGTTAGAAAATTTTTACTTTTTAATGTATCCAGGCTAACCATAGCCCTCTCGAATTATTGTTAACCTGATGTAATTATATGTATTGGCATGTGTGGTAAAGACATTTGCTTGGTCATTTAACAGATGTGCTTTGGATGTTCCAGCATGGGATGGACATATTCCTCAGATGCAGCTGAGGAGGCCTAAGACTGGAAAACTGCTGTAGGATAATGTGTCACCTTTGGCAGGAGAGTGCTGTTGCTTCTTCCCTACTCCAGATGCCAGGTGTAGCGAGTAAAGCTGCTGGCCAGCTGCTTCTCATATCGGCTTCTTAAAATAGGAAAAAGGCAAGAGTAAAAACTAAATGTGAATCATAATCATGGCAGAAAAACATGAGGGAGAGAGCTAAACAGAGTCCCATCTTCACTGTGTCTTTACAAACCTGGAAAAGCCCCCACACACGCAATCTGTGTTAGTGTCACATTTCTCAAGCAGAAATAAAATGCTGATCAGCAGCTACCATGTCCAAACTAGACAGAGAGGTATGGAGGATGCTGAACTTGTGCAACAAGTTTTCAGGCAACTAGGCAGGGCAAAAGTTCTCAAATAGAGTGTTTCTAACTCTTTCTTTTTCTCTTTCTTTTCTCTGCCTGACTTCGCCAGCTATCTGTGGACATGGCTGCAAGTACGGCGAGTGCATAGGACCAAACAAATGTAAATGTTTCCTTGGATTTACCGGGAAAGCCTGTAATCAAGGTTTGTGCACATGGGGGTATTACTCCAGAAAGCAAACTGTTGATGTTCTGTCTCCTTATCTTGTACTGGCGATTGTCTCATCTTCCAAAATTGTAAACCAAAATATTTTCTTGTTTACATAGAGGAACTTAGAGTTTAAGGTTCTTGCATCTCCAGCATCCCGGGCAAGCTCTGGGCCTCCCTTCAGCACACAGAAGTTTGAACCTGTATCCTGTATCTCCTGCGGGCTAATGACAGAGGCAAACTGTCATTATATCAGAGGATTGAGGCATGGAGAAGTTATATAGAAAATTATAAAATGAGATGGAAGTCAAATCCAGAACCAATGTTATTTTCTTAACCAGCAACCCATGTTATTTTCTTAACTAAGCTTCTCATCAGAAAGACATGCAATTATGTGCTGGATATGTAATTTCTCAAGCTGCCTGGGCCAATCCATCTGTTTGCATATATTGATTGGTATTTCTGAGAACCAGAATTGGGAGTTTTTAGAATTGCATATTCAGAAACTTCAAATGCATCACATTCCCCACCATAAACGTGCAATTAGACACGGAAATATTTCAGCCAACATATTGATGGGAACTCGGCCTCTTTTTCCTGTTCCAGTATATGAGACCCCTGTATTGGATCCTATGAAAGGAGCAGGTCACTGTGCATGGAGAGGGCATCCTACTGCAGTGGAGATGGGTGAACTGCAGGGGCTGTGAGGGAAGCGTGACATAAAGGCCACACAAATGGGTTGGTCTGTCTTTGCTACTTCCATTAGCACCTGCAGCTTTTGCTCAAAACCACTGCACTGACATCTACTACATACCCGTCTTTTAGAATCAAAGCAACCCATTTATTACAAAGTATCTCTCAAACAAGATGCTATAAAGATATACTGTTAAGTATTTTGTAAAATGTCATCTTTTGCACTTTTGATGTTGCTCACAGGGAAAGAAGTCAATTCCTCAGTACCACTAGGGAGGAAAATGGAACAGCAGCTGTGGTTGTGTGAAATAGATGTGTAGGTATACAAGTTCAGCCTCTAAACCCAGACTCAAAATTATTTCACAGCTTAAACGTCACTGAAAGGAGGCAGAGAAGCCCCCAGCTTCTAGGTGTTATCTGTGCAGTAAATCCAGCTTCATTTCGTATGTCTTCCATAGACAAGAGAATCAGTTCTGTGTACTTGCAGCAGATGCAGAGTCTGATGTTTGGTGGAAGCACCGCGCAGACCTACATGTTCAAATTGCCTGTTAGCTCCCTGGGCTGTTTTACCTTCTGAAGCACAGCCAAGAATTTTTTAGCAAAGTGATGGCTGGCACAGGCCAGAAATGTCCCAGAGCTATTTCAATAGTATAGCCCTATAAGTGGTTATGTTCCAGTGGCCAGGAATGCTCAGAGCAACTTTAAATTTACTGGCAGATGCAGCCTTGGTCTGCCAGTACAGCAGAATGCCTTGCTGAGCAAGCTTAACATGAGCTAACTAAAATAACAGAGATAAGGGGACTGTATTAGTCTGCCACCAAGTCTGAGCTAAATTAGCCTTATCTCCATAGGTTGTCTTTTAGAGCTCTGTGTGCTATCTGTGCATTACTGTGCATTGTGCAAGGTGGATGCAGCCAAGCACTTTTGAAAATGTATGGCCTAAGCAGAATAACTTTTATTTCCCTAGTTTGCTCTCTAGTTTCTTTGTTAAGAGTCTCAGTTATTTAGTGCAACCACAATAGCATGAAAGTCCAATAGGATTTGCACGCTGATAGGTTGTACTTTCTCAAACAGACCTTACATCCAAGTGATAGAATGAAACCCTACTTTTCTTCCCTGGACAGAGCTGTAACAAACACTTCTGCATGTGTATAACCCCCACAGTTATACTTGCTTCTGCTTGCAATGGTTTGGAGTTTTTTCTGTAGCCTGCTGGGCACATAGACATGCAAAGAGATGCTGCTCCCATTTAAAAGTGGAGCTACATAAGTTCAGCCTGCTGACGGACTTGCATCTTTACTGAATTTATATTATTTGTCAAATGTGTCCTTAAACACATGTTTAACAGGCTATGTGTGCTGGTGCATTCTGCTAATGGGTTCCATCTGCTTGCTAGTCAGGTTTCAAAATACAAGAGATAGAGGTGTCAGTTCACAGAAATCACAAGCGCAGATATTGCCCCCTTATCATAGGGTCTATAACATTGTCCGCACTGCTCTGCCTATACCACACAAATTACTTTTCAGGATTCTAGTTTTCTCCCTGTGAAGGACAGCTACTGGGAAATTGAAATTAATTTAGTTTGTGCAAAGCCTTTTAAATCCTGGATGTTAGGAAGGATTTAGGATGCTTTTATACACAGGATTTTGAGATTTTTGAAATTTGTCCTTTTATTCTTAAAGTCACACAATTCTTACCATATATTGTATTCCATTTATGCTACTGATATGCATTTTATGCATTCCATTTATGCAACTGACACTGTTGGTGTCAACGTGCATCTCAGAGAAGAAAAAAAAGAAAAGGAGAAAAAAATCTTTGTTTCACTTTATCTCAAGCTGATTTGCTGCTCTTCATCTCATATTTTTTCTTTTTTAGTACAGAGGTCAACTGGAGGGCTAAAATCTCCAGCTAGAATCAGGGAAATCCAGAAAAATAACTCCCAGAAAAGAGACTAACTGCAATTCTCTCCCCACCCCTCCATCTCTCCCTAATGAGCTGCCAGATGTGTCCAGAGTTTGCATTAGTTTTTCAGGTATAGGAGGCCGTGTGTGTTAGTTTTGCTAGCAGTTTTTCAGCCAGATGGTTTGCTAAGCTCTCATCTTGAAAGAGGCTGGCTTGTATTCAGTCCAGGCAATTTTACTGTGGGGAATTCAAGGCATTAGGCAGTATTATCCACCTATATGTATGAATATACAAACCCAGCACTCACTTTGTTCCAATGGTTTCTGCAGATCTGAATGAATGCGGACTGAAACCACGTCCCTGTGAACACAGATGTATGAATACACATGGCAGCTATAAGTGCTATTGTCTCAACGGGTACATGCTTATGCCAGATGGCACATGTGCAAGTAAGTAATAAAGCTGATAGGACAGGCACACCAAAAGCATCTAGTCACATTTGATCCCAGCAGATTTTCTTCTTGTGATGAATGGACTTAGCTTATTTAGGATACAGTCTTTGCCCCAGCTTTCTGGTACTGTCAGCCACTGACAGAGGCTTTATATTTGGCAGTACATAGATAAAGTAAACTTGTATTTTGGTCCTGCTAGAAGTAAAAATCTTTGACAGCATTAATTCAAATGAAGGGTAGCTAGTATAATCTTGGTGCATAGTTCTGCCAGTTCATCTATTGAATAAGGATGCATGAATCTATCCAAGCAAAGCACCAATCTAGACTACTTTTTACTATGCTGAATTTCATGCCATTATGCCTTACTTTACCTTTCTGTGCTCCCTGACCAATTTATTTTATCTGTGTGTTGAAATGTTTCCCATAGTTGCTACCAGCTTCTTGCAAACACTTGTTCCTTGAGCTAAGACTTATCTAAACTGTATTTCTAGCTATTTGTCTTTAAGCTATCATGTAATGGAAAACATTCTGCTTTCTTAGCCAACCTGATTTTTCAGACCGGAGGAAGAGTCTTATTTTTCAATGACACTGTTTTGTTTGTAGAAAATACTTTTCTTCACCTGAGCTGTTCCATACAGGTATTTTGGCTTTGAATTTTGTAAAACCATAAGGAACATGGTGGTACACCTTTATGGAGTCCAGTGGTCTGAAGCAGATGCATCAGTTGGACAAGGAAGTTAGTTTGTCTGAGCAGTGGAACAATCTGCTTGAAAGGTCTGTCCTGTACCAGTGGACCTAGCTGTATGGGGTGCAGCACCATCTATCCCATGTATATGACAGAAAACCATAAACTCTGAAAACCTTTGATTTCCAGACCTTGGAGACAACCATTCACTGGGCAGGGTGTCCATCTGAGGAGTTTGCTGCCAGTCTTGGGATAACTGGAAAAATATCCAGCTTTGGCAAACACGTGCAGGAGTGTGGCGTCTACAGCTCCGGGACAGGAAGGAAAGCCAGAGCTCCTATTCTCTCTCTCTTATCGCAGAGAGACTGAAATTACCACAAAAGGTGGCTGGGGCCAGAGCCTTTGGGGGATTTCCTTCCCTGCATCACAGTAGACAACAGCTGCAGCGTACTGAGATCCTTGAGAAATGGATATATATCCCTTTTGTTTCATCCAAGATGACTTGTGTGTCTTCTGCCATCATTGCCAAGCAGTTATCAGGAAGGCCACTGTCTCATGGACAGCTGAAGTTGGCAGGAGGCAGAACTGCAGCTGAAAGAAACCATCCGTGGAGCCCAGCAGAAGCTTTGTCCCATCCATCCCTCCATCCCACTCCTCTGCACACAGACGCTTGCTGCAGCCATACTTCTGAACTAAGTCAGAAAATTAGATCCAGTCTATAAATTACCGTTTTTGCTGCACTAGTTTTAAGCCAGTCATAGTTCAGGACTCAATTCCTATTTAAGAAACTCTGCATTTGTACCAAATAGGCAGTTGCACCATCCCTTGCTTAAGGCAGCACAAAATGCTGGATTTCTCAGTGGCAGTGAACAGTGTCAACTATGTATGAAAAAATGGTTTGAGCAGCTCTGAGCCCTAAAGCTTCCCTTTCACTTTGGCACATGGAAACACAAAATGAAACCAAATTTCAGGGGGCTAACCAAGTTTCCCATAGAAGGAAAGTTTTCATTCTTCACAGCTCTAGTTAAGGAAGGAAGAAATGTACATTAAGCTGTGCTTCATTAACCCAACCCATCTGCCATCTTCTAGTTCCAAAGAGCCTTTATTTTCTTCAGCAGAAACTGTGATTATGAAAGTTTTTGATGATGAAAATTATTTGCTCAAGTAGAAGTTATTTTTGATTAAATTTAGTAGCCTTCCTTTTAACTTGATGCTAACTAAAGCTTGTGCTCAGTTTAAACGCTAGGTTGTTTAACCAACTGTATCATTTTCATCATTTGATTCAGGCCAACATTTTGAGCATATTTTTTCTTTCCAATTAAATTCATCATGATGTAAGTCTCCTTAGCAAGATGAAGTCCACCTTGTCTGAGCAGTCAGGCTTATCTGCAACCATGGCAAGGGACCAGGGAGCTAGAAGAAGCATATCAGAAGAATGTGGCTTTGGGCCACAGAGAACCATTGTTTAACACTTAGGAGGTTAGTATCTAAGACAAAATCACCCAAACTCTGCATTTCTCCTAGTTTTCTAATCTTGCATAAGTCTTTCAGACAGGACCTGGCCGCCTACACTTCTATTCAGATGCTAATCAAGAATCATCTCAAATAATTCAGACTCTTAACCAAGCTATGGCAACCAAGACTTGTGTTCTGGCTAGTGCCTCATTAGATTCAAATATTTGTCCCATAAAGTGTCAAAATAAACCACAGTTTCTAAGTCCATCAGGCTTAATAATTTTAAAAATCAAATTCTATACTGGAAGCATATTTCATGGTAAATAATAAAAACATTTCACCAATGAATAACAGTCTTCTGTAAGGTATAACTGTTTCTATGGAAAATGGAAAAAACACCTTTTCTACTTTCATCAGTTCTGTCTCTGAATCTAAAAGGTACTAGTAGGAAGTCACAGAACTGGGAACAAATGAAAAAGAAGGAATAAGGGGGATAAGGAAAGAAAAAAGTGAAGGGGGATGTAAGACTATCTTATGGACTCCCTAATTGCCAATGCATCGATGTATAAACAGCTTGATTTGTGATGAATGGAATTTTGTTGTTCTAATTAATTTTCTGCGTTCACCCAGATCTAATATAAGTGCCTGATCCTAGCCTAGAATTTTGCTCTTTTTGTTATGTTAAATACTATTTTCAGGTTCTAGGACATGTGCCATGGTGAACTGCCAATATGGATGTGAAGAAGTCAAAGGAGAGGTGCAGTGTCTTTGTCCATCGAGTGGCCTTCAGCTAGGACCAAACGGAAGGACCTGCATTGGTATGGTTAGAGAGCTCACTCTTGGCTTCTTCTCTATGGGAAAACTGGTATGTCTTAACTTAGTTCAGCAAGGCGAGGTGCAGAGATTCAGTAGAAGAGCTGCTGATGCTCTCAGATTCCTGTTTCTGGGGCTTTCTCTTAAACTATTCTCTGATATTTCCTTTCTTTCGGAAAGAACGGGATTCCTGGAGTTCCTCCCCACCCTGCTCCATGACTTCAGGGCAAATAATTGTCCCCAGTGGGCTGCATCTCCAGAGACAGTTACCCAGCTTTTACCATGCCAGGTCTCAAAATCTTCTGTAAGTTATTTCACATTTTGCTGCCTCGTTCATACGAGCACATGCAGAAGCCATCCCTGAGTGTGAAATTATAGGACTTAGTTTTTAAACAACTTGTGATAGCCAAGACCAAACCATTCCCATTTCCCAACTAGTTCATTCTTTCCAATTTTACCTTCCTGTGGATCTGAACATCCCTTCTCCTTCTCTAGACATAGATGAATGCTCCACTGGCAAAGCTGTCTGCTCTCGCAACCGCAGATGCATCAACACGTTTGGAAGCTACTACTGCAAGTGCCAGCTTGGTTATGAACTGAAATATGTCAGCGGCCGTTATGACTGTGTAGGTAAGATTTAGCCCATGAATTTTCCCTTTTCAGTCTTTTGCATTCTCACACCATGCATCTTTCCTGGCATTGCCTGAAGCATGTTGGCATAGTCTGGGGATACTGCCTTACAAATGGATAAGAGTTGTCTCACTAATAATATTCTTGATGGCACTTTGAAGTTTTTTCTGGGTTTTCTCTTAGTGAAAACCTAATTACGGGCGCTTGCAAATGATATTGCCTCCTTGTACCAAGCGAACATGTGGAAGGTCTAATAGCAAATATTTGACCACAAAGAAGTGCTACTTCTGGTACAGGTTTAGTTAAAGAGCCATTTTTCGTCCTCTCAGCATTCAATCTGTGATGAATGAGCGATCCCACAGTGGTTTGGGTGTTTTTTTTTGTGGGGGTTTGTTTGTTTGTTTTATTTTGTGTCATTAATGAGGAATGTGAATCAAGTGCCTTCATGACTATAAAAGCAGTTGTTTGGATGGAGAGTAGAGCACTTAAACCCAAGAAAGTATGAAAAGAGTAGGTTTTCATTGCTTTTCAGGTCTCTGTTGCATGCCTAGGTTTCTCCCAAACAAAAATAAATACAGGCAAAAAGTTATCTTGACATGCCCAGCTGTTAAAACAAATGTCAAAGCACCTTTTACTCCTATTTCAATCTGTTAGCTGAAAGGTGGAAAACCAACATAATACAAATTACTGCATCAGTATTGTTCAAGCAGTTGACTCCACTGAAAGGGTTGGAGAAGTCCATACAAAACAGAATTCATGAGTTTTGGTTATATTTGCTTGGTGTTGGGACTTCAGGGTGGGAGAGAGATCATAAGGCAGGTTTTAGAGACTCAAGTTTGCATTTCCTGTTGTACACAAACCCTGAAAGCCTTAGAGTAGAAAAGATACTCACTTTTTCATGCAATACGTATGCATGAGGGAAAAACTGGACAGGTCTCAGTAGTCAGGATTTTATCTGCAAACCTGAATCTTGCTCTCAGACATACCCTATTTTCGAGTCAGTCTTCTTGCTAATTGCCTCCTAGCTGACTTACATTGTGAGAAGACCTGTTAGCTGACAAAAATGAAGCAATCTGGATAAAATGCAAGAGGTGTGCACCAACGTGGCTCCCTCTTGTGGGAGAAATCAGAAACATCTTTGTGGTGTAACAATAAGGGAAAAGGAGAACAGTCAGTTACTCTTGATGCCTGTACATTTTCCTGTCAGTTGAATGTAGTATTTCTTATTGAATTTTTCTTGATTATACTTTTTCATACAGCATCATATGTATGCTGGAATGTTACAGGCAGAGAGAAGATCTCAGTATCTGGGCATGCTCAAGGTTACTTTCCACTGAATTTCTTCTGGAGTGAATGAAAGAATGAGAAAGATTTGTGAATGCTTCTTTAATTGATGTCTGTCGTGGTTTAAACCCAGTCAGGTAAATTGTTCACTCACTGCCCCCCTTCTTTCCCTCCCCCTACTCCCAGAGGGACGGAGAGGAGAATCAAAAAGAACGCAGCTCCCACGGGTTGAGATAAGAACAGTTTAGTAACTAAGGCATAACACAGATCACTACTGCTACTGCCAGTAATAACAATGGTAAAGGAAATAACAAGGGAAGAAAATACAACATCTCACCACCAGCTGACCAATAACTCGCCCCCCCCCAACCCAAGCAAGCTCTGACTGATACCTCCTCTAACCCTGCAGTCTCCCAGCCCTTCCAGCTAACTCCCAGTTACCCCTGGGCATGACGTGCTGTGGTATGGAATACCTCTTTGGTCAGTTTGGGTCAGGTGTCCTGTCTCTGCTTCCTCCTGGTTTCCCCTCCTCCCTGGCAGAGCATGAGGCTCACAAAGTCCTTGGCCAAACCAAAACATCGCTATCAGTTCTGTTCCCAGGCCGAAAGTCAAAACACTGCACTGCACCAGCTACCAAGAAGGAGAAAAACGACTGCTACTGCTGAACCCAGGACAATGTCACATGTTCTCTTGGGGCCTTTTGCATTTTGTTAATAGAGTGGGTACAACCTACAGTCTGAGTGCTGTTCTCAGTCAGAAAACCACTGTGTTCACTTTGCCTTTACTGCAATGCTCTACATTTTCCATGGATGCAAATGCCAGTAGTTGGAGCTGATATTAGGCTAGAGTGAATTCTTCTGCCTCTAATGGTCTCTGGACCAACTTGGTCTAACACTAGTACTTACAATACCTGGAAACAGATGGCCAGCACAAACAGGCTGTCATGAAGCTTGGGTTTCAACACAGATTTCACTGAAGCCTTTATATCTTTCCTAGATGTAAATGAATGTGTGGCAAATACACACAGGTGTAACCTCCATGCAGAGTGCCTCAATACCGAAGGATCCTTCAAATGCAAATGTAAACAGGGCTACCGAGGAAGTGGATTTGATTGTGCTGGTGAGTACTATTGGATGTCAGGAATAGTGATAAGTTTTTCTCCGATTATTGATGATTATAAGGCATTTTCTAAGAAATGTCATGCTGAAAGTGCTTCAATACCAATCAAACAAGACTCCGCCATAAAATATTTATTGCACCAGCCATTGAATACTGCATACAAACATTGTTCAAATTCAATTTGTCTATGAGTCCCCAGGTCTCACAGTACCACTGGGAATTGCAAGTAGAACAGAGAAGACAATTTGTCCTGAAGAAACAGGGAACACAGGCTTTATGGAAGCCAAAGGAAGTTTTGTTATTGGGTTTAATAGAATGAGAACACCATCCTGGGAATTTGGAGGCTGGAGGCTGTAGCTTCACGTTTCTTTGGGTGGCATTGGCTGCAGCTCCTGCAGCCCATCCCAGCTCTAAGCAGTTGGGCCTGGGATTATGCTGCAGCTAAACAAAAGGCTTCTTAAATATGTCCTTAATACTCCACATAATTATTCCCACAGGGTGAGAATCTCATTTTCACAGGGAAGTATTAATTCTTTATAGCAACTGTCTCTACCGTGTAACAAAGCAGCTACCATGGCAGTAGTATTAGCTTTTTATAACAAATGAAAACCATTTTAATCTACAGCTTAATTTTCAGAGTATGAAATGAAAGTAACTCAGCAGATTGTTTATAATGAAATTTCTATGGCTACATCTCCTCATGCTGCCAAGTAACCTAAAAAGTAAGGTAACGTAAAATTCACTTTTACACAGACAGTGGAGGAAATTCTTTCATTTAATTTGAATGTCAATATACTAATGTAGGAGAAAGCTGCCTGAAACATCAGGCTGAAAACAGTGCTGCTTGAATGGATACTACCTGTGATTGTTCAGGCACCCTTTTGACATTTAACACTCCTATATGCATGGAACATCGGAGGCTGTTACCAAACTGCCTCTAGCACACATTTCATTTGAAAATCCATAGAAATGTAATCTTCAAATGCTCCCTAAAAGGGTTCTACCCATTTCCACATCTGGCCTCCATCTTCCTGCAATCTGTTGCTGTTCTCAGGTTCATGTGTTTCCTGATTTCCTATTGTGCATTGAAAAACTATGCTTCCCTCACCACATGCTTCTATGTGTATTTCAACTTTTAGTTAAGAATAGAGTCTTACAAGATTCCATATCCAATTAAGATTCCTGGGGGGAAAATGAACCTATTTTTGATTCACTTTTTTGGTAGGACACTGCAAAATAACAGGAAAAAGCAGTATTAACTTAAAGCCTACAACTTTCAGGCAGAGCTCCGCATTGATACTCTGGAGGGGCAGATGGCTATTCTTTGTTATGCTTTGCAGGATACCTAAATGGCAGTGCAAAGTCATGTGAAATCTCTCTGCACCTATTGTATTACTCATGTTCTTTTTTGCTCATAGGGTACCCCTAAACCCCATATATGATTTTACTTTCTTATTAATTTGCCAGTCCTGAGAAAAGTTGGGTCTAACATAATAAACTTTCAAAGCTTAAAAAGCAATTCTGGTCACATCACTGGCAAGATTCTTACGATTCAATTCAGTATAGAGCCAAATACTGCTGTAATCCTTTAATGAATAACACTTAGGCTTTTGTCACCCCACATTTCTTACTGGAAGCATTGCTGGCTGTTGTAGTCATGTATTAAGCATAGTCCAGTGTGATGAGGTTACCCTGATTTCTCAAAGCATCCTTCCCTGAATAACATGGTAAGAATTTTAGAAATGAAAAGGGCTAGGAATATATGTTGGTAGATCATATTCCATGGTGCTTAAAAGAATAATAGTCTATAATCTGTTTTAACTGATCTATGAAAGCTTTCAGACTCTCTTAAGACTATCTAAAAGAAGTTGAGAACTTTCAGAATGATTTCTGAAACTATGTCCTGCTGATCTAATCTTTACATCTACAAACACGGTAAATGGTTGTCTGTATCCCTCATCCTCTCTCCAACTTTTTATACAGAAGCTACAAAGGGAGCTACAAGAGGATTTGTAAGCCAGTCTCCTAGGCTTGTCTCTCACCAGGTTTTTAAGCATATTACCAGCTGTGAGGGTGAAAGTAGCATGGTGCCTGCTGGAGTGCAGAGCAAGCTGTCTCCTATTGCAACCTCTTATGTTCAGAGCCCCTGAGCCCCAGACTGTGCTGGCTGCAGTCACAGGGTATGTGGAAGGAAAACAGATCGCTGTCTGTCCCTCTTGTGTATCATCCCCTGAGTATTTCCCTTTACACAATGAAGGGGGGTTGGTATCTGCTTTTCCTATATTTTTTCCATCTCAACTTCCACAACTTCATCATTAGACATCCTACACCAAGCCATTTTTGTGGGTTTATAATCTCATACAGCAACTGATGACAGAAAAAATTTTAGCCGTCAGCTGCCATTTGCCTTTGTTTTTCCATCTCTTCCTTTAATTCTCTCCAATTCAAAGGAATACCTTTGAAAGCTGAAATATTTTCATACTAGGGCAATAAACACAAACTACATAAGAGCAGGAGGCATTAACCAGCACACTTCCTGGTGGAAGGTACGTAAGGAAGACCTGAATGAAGTACAATAAATTACACTTTCCAAAATTCTCTATGCAGTCATGCAGATAGAAAAATGCACAAATGTTTATGAGCAACACCTGTGCATTTATATACAGGTCCCGGGACTACAGGTCCTGAAAAATTACCACTTCAGCTGTACCATCCTGGGCTGTCAGAGAAGGTGAGCTGTTAGTTCAGGCAAGTCCACAGGCAGTGGATTCAACAGAACAAACCGAGTTTAAGGTGCTCTATCCTTACACTAGATTATTCCTTAGCCATATAAAGCCATAAATCTGCACATCTGGCTGCTCTAAAGCTGAGTGCAGGTTAGAAGTATACTAGTGATACATCCTAAAACATGCTTGGTGTCCTTCTTTGTCCCCATGAAAATATAGATTTACATATTGGAGAAGCAAACTGGAGTGTGCAAGTGCATGGGGTTTTATACAGTTTCATCCCCCTATTTTTGTCACTTCTGTCAGTTGATTTTCTGCACAGCTCAGTTTTGCACATAGAAGGAGATTGCTTTTCTGACACCACAGAGGTTATTATGTTGACCTAAGAATTTTTAATTTCACTAGAAAAACTTCAAAGCAGAAACTAATAGCAGATGTTTAAGATTGCTGCCCAGTCAGTCCTGGCTTGAAAATCTCCATAGCCTCTTTATTAACAGTCTGAAGTTTCTTGTTACTGATTGTCAAGAGGAAAAGTGTTTGGAATTAAGCAATTTTTATTGCTCATTCACAGAACCTTACATCCTTTTTTACCTCATCCTCCAGAGGAAAGTCTTACTTAGTTGAGAATTAGTAAAGAGTTTACTTGCAAATATCTGACAAGGAAGGCTGCAAGTTTTATCCAAAAGAAAAGAAAAACCAAAGCCTCAATTTTGATCTATTTTTTTATTGGCATCTATTTACTTTATACCTCCAACAGAAGCCTCAAAAAGCCTGAATGCACACCAACGTTTGATTCTGTACCTATACAAAATAACATGTAGTTGTATTTGCCATTAATAAAATGTGGCAAATTCAGATTGGTAGAATTGTATTCTCCAGGAGTGAATATAAATTCAGGCAACTTTCCTTTTTTTTCCCTACCAGACTATGGTTCTATTTTATTAACTGGTGGTTTTCTTCTGGTATGTTTGGATGAAAAGAAACACACAGAAAAAAAGTACAATCCGAATTTACAATCCAAGTCTAGTCCACCTGTCCGAAAATACTACTATAAAGTTTTTATTATTCCAAAGTGAGGAGTAAAATAGGAGCATATTCTTGCCCTGATAATTCGATCACCAAACAGCAAAAGCAGCAGGAAATTAAAATATCTGATTTCCCCACCATTTGCAATCCAAAAAGACTCTAGTCACTGCAACATCAATATTGATTGAAAATCAAATAAAAGAAAGAGTATATAAGCCTATTCTAACCCATTGGTGCAAATAGCTTCCATCTGTGGAAGAGCTTTTGTACAGCACACTGGGACTTCTCAGCTCTCATTATTTCCTAGGTACTTCACATAAAGGACTCAAACTGCAGCATCATAGAATCACAGAACACTTTGGGTTGGAAGGGACCTTAGAGATCATCTAGTTCTAAACCCTTGCCATGGGTAGGGACACCTTCCACACCTGCAGTATTACCGTAATTTCTCCTTCGAATTTGCTTTGGATTGTGCACACACCTTGAACAAAATGATCCAAAGTAGTCCTGGCTTTAGCCCCCAGTTATGATTTGACCATCAGCACAAAGAGCCATCAGTCTTTGTCAGATGACAGAAGAGTACATCTGGAAGGGACTGAAAAGATCGGTTTATCTGTTCTTTTGCTTTGAGGCAGATCATACCCAGTATATTCATGACAGATGGTAGCCTAATAATTTTTAGAAAGTTCTAGAGATACAGTTCAAATAATCTAAGTGTCTTGATCCTGTATTTTACAATCCTACAGCAAGGATAGTAAGAAAGATTTTCATAATATGTAACTAAAATCTATCCTCATTTCATGTCAACTGATAATTTTCCTATCTTAAGAGAACATGGAGAGCAGCTGGCCAACATACTATCTTAAAGGAGCCCTCTGTGCTGCTACTGGGTCTCACCATTGGTGGAAAAATCAGTCCTGCCTCCCCACATCCCTAGAAATGCATTTTCAAATGGGTCTGTGAAAAATGTCCTTCATTCAAGCATCCAAGCATAGTTTGATTATTTTACATAGAGAAAATTTGAATTTTAAAGGAAATAAAAGGCTTGTAACTTGAAACTCAATACGCAGACAAGGAAAGCATAATTAGAAAATCAGGGCTACCATGTAAATGCAAAAATGTCCTCTTACCAGTGAGTGTTTTGAAACTTTTGCCCAAGCATAGAAAGGATATTTGACTTTATTATACTTCTTAATAGCAAAAACCCCACATTCAGGTGTTTGGATATGGTTTGGGGTTTTTTTGTTTGTTTGTTTGTTTTACAAATTTGAACAATCTCAGCTGTCTTTCACCCACTCTAAGTTTTTCACTTCCGGCAGAATTTGTGTTTCGGAGCAAAATACAAATTTGAAATATACTACAAGGTGGATTTATTTTTAATTTTTTTTTTTAAATATTTGAGGGGGTTTACCTCTTATAACTAAATATCCCTTAGAGATAAATGAAATGTGATGGAGCAACTTGGTGTTTTTCCTCTCAAAATATGCTCCATTTCAGTGGCTTGCAGCCTGTTGTGCAAGGAAAGTTAGTCCAGAGAAGATCACAGAAGATGGGTAAGAGAAAAGCTCATTGCTGTAGGCTGACATCTGTTATGCAGGGAATCACAGCTCCACGTACATCTTTTACTAGTCCACAGGTTGAAGGAGGATAATTTTTCTTAACCAAGCTCCGGTGTAAAACTGATTAATCTAAAGGGCTCTGTAGCCTGTGTTACAGAGGAGTCCAAATGAGGTTGTTGTAGAGGATTTCTATTGTCTTTTTTTTCACTGTAACTTAGAGGGTCATCTCTACAACAGAGCTAAACAAGTGCACATGTATTGAGTTTTGTGCAGAGCTGAACTTATATCTCGTACTAAAGAATTTTGCTGTATGGGTCTTTGGACATTTGAAAAGATACCATGGTCCCATTTATTAAATGTTGTCATTGCTGAATGATTCCTTAGATGAATATTTAATATTTTCTTCTTGGTTCTAGTTATCCCTGAAAAGTCAGCGAAGGAAATTGCAAGAATCCCTGGAACAGCTAAGGACACAATTAAGAAACTCCTTGCACATAAAAACGGTGTGAAAAAGCAGGAAACAATCAAGAATGCAATCCCAGAAGCAGCCGTGACACCGTCTTCTAAGACACAGTTGCAGTTACTGGACTATAAAGGTGGCGTTGATCTTGGTGGGAGCTACAGTGAGGAGGAGAAACAAACTGAAGCTACTGAAGAAAAGGAGGCAGAAGAGTCAGATGAAGAGGAAAATGAAGATTTTGAGAATCAGATCGACCATGAGCAAAGACTTAGAGGAGATGTCTTTTGTAAGTTTCTTCATTAAAAAAAAAAAATAATCTGGTTTCAATATATATATATAAGCACTAAAATATATGAAACATTACAGCCATCTTATTAGAATTTGCTTGTAGAAAAGGAAAAGAAACTTAACATACCTAGTGGTGAGGCTAAAGATACTAAACCTCCCTTTTAGGTGAATTAACACTTGCAGTTAACGTGAGCACAGGGAGTGCAGCATTCTGACAGGCTCTGCTTTCAGAGCAGTTTAGACATAGCACATAGAAGAACATGTTCATAGAAGAACAATGATGCGTGCTGCTTTGTTACATGACAGTACTTAGCTTTGATTAGTGACAGGCATACTCATCCTATGCAGTGTGCATTGCTCAGAGACAAAACACAGACTTTGGTGTTCTTGTGTTTCAAATAATATAGACCATACAATAGGCATTACTGTTGTTCATGTCATTCCCAACAGAAAAAACAACCTGCGTGAATCACAAAGAGATTTTCTTTCTCTCTTTTATTTAAATGTGGGAGCTTATCTGAATGAACACTCTCAAATTTGATGGTATTTGAGCAGTCATATTGATTAATTTCTGACAGTCATTTATCAGGAGGATTGATATGCATGTCCTCACCCTGCTTTCAGGTGTTTCCTTCCAACTATTATCTTGTACACCATGCACTTTCTCTCTGTGTTCCATATAAAGTTTTCAGATGCATTTTAATTGGTTCTTAGTACAGCTGGCTCAATCAAACATTCTTCAAATGGCAAAAATATTTAATATGAAAAATATATACTGCTAATAGTTTATTCATGATACTTTCTCTTTTCCAAAGTATAGAAAAATAAGAAGTATGATCCCACAGTCATTAAAATTACACCCCATATTCCACAATGATAAAAATGAACGCAAATGAAGATTAAGATAGCATTCAAATTGTTGTTATTTGATTTGAAAAGACATGGAAGTATAATTTTTTTAAAGAAAAGGTCATTTCAAGGTCCTCTGTAGAAAAATGGTCTGTAATATTGCTACTGTAAGAAAGCCAAAAAACAAACAAAAAAGTGATTATTCACTGAAATACATTTGAGAATACAAGCTTATTTGCCAAAGGCACACTTCTAAAATTGCCTTTTTTTCAGTTTTAATTGGTAACTTGCCTGTTTCAGTTCAGACTAAGGATAAAGATTAATATTGCCTTCCCAAATTATGTTAACGAGAATGAAGTCAGGTCATTGTTCACCAACCTCCTTCCTTCCTGAAAATATTAACAGTGAGCTTTTACGGCATATTTCAAGTTTTCTGACAATACCAAACTGGGGAGAATGACCCATATGCTAAAGGACAGCGCTGCTATTAAGAGGGACCCAGCCAGGCTGTGAAGATGGGCTGAGAGGATCACTATAAAATTAAACAAAAGCAAATGCAAAGAGAGGAAAAAACCTCGTGCAACATTATAGACATTAGGAAGAAGCTGTGCAGAAGTGGTTCTTCCACTTTGGCACTTGTGAGACTACAGCTAAGGTTCCGTGTCCAGTTTCAGTCTTTCCATCATAAGACAGATACTGGCATGAGTACAGCAATGATCAATCAAGGTCAGGGTCTTGGAGAACATTGCATATGAGGAGGGGCTAAAAGTAACTATTTTTCAGCACTAAGAGGAGGCTAAGGGGAGATCTTATAGCTGTCTTCAACTACCTAATGAAAGGTTATATGGAAGGCACAGCCAGACTCTTAAACATGTACTGCAGTAGGACAAGAAGTAACATCTGCATGTTGGCAGGGGTAGTGGTGGAAATCTGATTGGATATAATGAAAAGAATATTTTACCATGAAAGTGGACAAAAATGGGTATGGATATGCAGAGAGGTTATAAAATATCCATCTTCAGAGATATACATAATATGATTGAGCTGGGCCTCGAGCAGCCTCCTGGTCAGCAGCTCAGACTAGGCGACCTATAGATGTTCCTTCCAACCTACATGATTCTGTGATTCATTCTGTACTTTTAACTGAGCATTTCAAAGCAGTTCAGAAAATAGTGGTATCTAGTGTGCATAGACCTGCATCAGCTATGTATAAGACTTCAGTCATTGTGCATTTGCATTTTAATTTCAGGATAGGCTGCATATATTAAATGTGTTTTCTTTCCTTTTAAATTTCCACATGCTATACTTGAGCCTTGTTATTATAAAAGTTCAGTCATGATTTAAGCACTTAATTGCTTAAATGTTTGGCTTTAAAAACTCTTGAATTTTTAATGATATTGAATAATCCTTTGGAAGGCATGATAAGCTCAAATTTACAGCTTGTAAATTTACATGTAATTTTTTTTCCTCCTCTGCGGATGTCAATCTATCAATGAGTCCTTTACTACCACATTAAGTTCCTCAATATAATCCCCTCAAGTACTCATATAGAGTCTGCCTTTTGTATTATTAATATTGGTACTGTTTGTCTTTCCGGAAGAGTAGCTAATTAGGAAAAATTGATAGGTCACACTTCTTAGAGATCTTACTTATTATTTTTAAATGTATGTATTAATTTATCATAGCAGTTTTGCTACACAATGGAGAGTTTCCACAGAAAAATACTGTTGGGGAAAAAAGTAATTATTATATGGAGATGTAAATTATTAAAATAGGCCAACTATCAAAATACAGAACCTTTATGAAAACTACTATTCACATGGGGGAGGGGGTAAAAAACCACAACAGTTAAAGATAGAAAAGTGAAGATCCAACATTTAAGAAATGTCAAAATTAAGGCAATCTGTGAAAACTTAAATTTTTCTTCTTATATTTTTATACCTTATGATACAGTCTTTTAATGACTTTGAATGACTATTTTCTATGGGATCCTTACCTTGTTCAGTGTGAAGTCAGGACCTGTCCTGCTGTGAAAGGTGCAGTTTAGTTCTGTCCTATTGATTGCAAAAATCGCAGATGTATAGAAAATGAGAGGAAACCAAAGTACTGGAAAAATCCTCACTGTGTTAGAAATATTCTTTCTGTACATAGAATAGTTGGACCAAGGCACTTGGTTATAGAAACAATGACTGTACAGATGCTATACTCAAACTGGAGGTGAACTTAATGTGCACGACCTCAATTCTGTCATTTTTCTAACATTCCAGTGCTTTTCATGTACCATTCATAATCCAGACCGATATTGGCAACTGCAAGTAAATTCCATATTCTGTACTTTATCAGTTTGTGAAACTCATATCATTCTTAAAACACTCTGTAGTATCATGTAGCCAGCTAGGTTAATTACAAAGCCCCTTCCTTTGATAGCGCCAAAATTATGAAGAGGTTTTGGTTTTCTGGTTTATTTGGCAATACTAAAAGTGAACTGTTACCCTTATGGGTTCTAGGCTCTTCGTTCTGAAAAAGAGCAGTCTCTCAGTTAATCAGGATGTTTGCTCTTAATCTTGCTCTTTTCTGATAAACAGATCTCTGTGTGAGTGAATAATGCTCAGAGCTCAGTCCACAGCTGTAGATAAAATGCTCAAAAGATGCCAGACATCTGGCAAATGTAATTCTTTCAGAGGAGAATGTGATAGCAGAGATGTGGCATATTTCTTTGAGGTCAGTATAGCGATATACTGTGTATATAGGAACCTAGTCTTTGTCTTACTACCTCTTATATTCTGCTTGACATTTTTACAATACCTATTCTGGTTTTCTGGGTTTTGTTTTGGTTTGAGCTAGGTTTTTTTATTTATGGACTTTGAACACAAGAAAGCAATGTTAGAAAGACAGCAAGTGCCATTTTTGTGAGAGTTCCCACATGCTGCAGTTTCCAGCACCTTAGAATTCGACGTGTTAGAATTACAAACAGTGAGTTACTTTTCCCAAATTTTGTGTTTTATTTTGTTTTGACTAACAAGACTACCTAGGCAAAACCAGGCATAGACTTCTTCCAAGGGAGAGAAAAATCAAATAGCCATAACAAGAAATAAGAGTTGCCCACAATTAGTACACTTAAATGCATGGGTGCTTATCTAGCCATTATGTATATTCTGATATATATATATATATTAGATATGCTGCTATATATCCATTCTTCCAGTATAGCTGCATCACAAAGAGCTAAATGTGATGCCACAGGTGATGTATAAAAAATAAAGTCCCACTAACAGAGGGGGAAAAAAAAAAGCATTAAAGCTTTAAGGATAACACATGCATTAATTCAGACAAATGGCAAATTACTTCCCGCTGCAAATGAAGCCATATTTTTTTCAGACAGAAGTGTCATTTCCACATGCACTACAAGTAATTTTATATACAGCAGTTCCAAAGCAAAGAGGTGAAACCAAGTGCACATAATGGAAAATATGTTAGTATTTTCGGTAAGGAAAATCTATCAGCGTTTTCAGTAAGTTCCTTTAGCACTACAGTCACTTACCAGTCGCTTACCAGTGCTTTTGTACTGTTCTGAAGGGTGCCCATAAAACAGCGCTCCACAGACCTATTCTAGTGAGCTTCTGGAGTGCTTTTCCAGATATGCTCCTGAAGCTTCCTATTGCTTTCATGATCTCATTGGCCCTTAATTGACTTCTAGACTGACTTGAGGGTCTATCTACATGGTACTTTTCAGGCAGACCTGAGCTAATTCCAGTTATGCCCCAAGCAAGCCCAGTGCAAGACAGCTCCAAACAAGAAGTGATATAGCCAGAGTTGGTGCAACTGGTAGAGCAGTGCTAACAGACCTGTTTGACAGGCAGAGTGAATTGGTGTCTGCCTCCACTCCTGTGGAACTGATGTTCCAGTCCATCTGATCATCTAGTGAGGGCTACACTCAGTATTAGTACACTAATGCTAATTATACACACACTAATAGTGCACTGCTGTGCACTCTACCAAAGGATATGCTTGAACCTCACTAGCTGTTTGTGATATCTTTTAGTGGCAGTCTGTTACCTTTCTTTGATATCTAAAAGTCCTCACACAGAGAGATAGATAGAAGATAGTGTTTGTAGTGATAGAACAAGGGGTAATGGGTTCAAACTTAAACAGGGGAAGTTTGGATATAAGAAGGAAGTTTACTGTGAGGGTGGTGAGGCACTGGAATGGGTTGCCCAGGGAAGTTGTGAATGCTCCATCCCTGGCAGTGTTCAAGGCCAGGTTGGACAGAGCCTTGGGTGACATAGTTTAGTGTGAGGTGCCCCTGCCCATGGCAGAGGGTTTGGAACTAGATGATCTTAAGGTCCTTTCCAACCCTAACTATTCTATGATGCTCAGATAGCTCTCAAATCTCATCTATTTCATTATCCACAGCACTTCCTGGTAAGCCTGGTGTTTTTAAAGTGGAATTCTAGTTTTATGTATAAATTTGTTTCTAAACCCCCTTCATGGCACTCTATTTAGGCACACTTACTTATACTAGAACAATATCAAAGTGCTTTTTTTCATCACTACTTTCTCATTTCCTGAGATTATTGCTAAGAAGCATTTCCATGATTGCAGGCATTCTCAGTTGTTTCAGAGTGGGTTTGTGTGAGTCCTGTTATTTTTTAGGGAAGTACTTTTAGCCTGATAGAACTGGCTGGGACTGCTCTAGTTTTGCATAAAGTCTCTTTCCTTGCTGCAGATCCTGATACATAATACAGTTCATAGGATCACAGAAGGGTTTGGGTTGTAAGGGACTTTAAAGATCCTCTAGTTCCAACTCCCCTGCCACAGGCAGGGACACCTTCCAGCTGACAAACTACATCTAACATGGTTTAAAGAAATTCCTCCTCCTCAGAACAAGGGTAATGCTCAGATATATCTCACAGACAGTAACTCTGAATTTCTTCCTATTGCAAGAACCTGTGTCAGCAACAAGGTGGCTGCTCTCAGGACCAGAACATCCCCAAGTTACGTATGCTCAGATCACCACAGACATCCATAGACACAAATCCTATGGAAATCGTTGGTAGCTAGTTACATAGGTACCTCTGAAGACCTGGACATTAGTTCTCTCTGCCACTAATTCCTGTTTATTTAATATCAAACCATCTTACCTCATAAGAGCAACATGCTGACCTTAGCAGTTAAGAATGTGTGGCACCATGATATGAAGGATTTTATATGTAGAGATTATATAGTAGCTAAGTGCTGCAGACAATTAGGTGGGTGGGCACCCGCAGTACAAAAAGAAGGGTAGACTGTGCTGTGCCTAAAATGGACATATGTGAGCTTTTCTTGGTCAGTCTGTCCTTAGAGAACATGAGACAAGGCCTCCCTTTCTGCAAGCAGAAGAGCTGAAAAGAGTAATCCCAACTTCTGCTTACTACTTAGGAGGGGTAAACTTCAGATCTTAGTTATGTCCAGTGATGGTCTGATGTAAAATGTAGGCACATTCAAAGAAGGTTTATTGGAAATCTTTCTGTAACCTGAAGCTTCAATTTCTTATAACATGAGCTGGTATCTTCTAGTAAGTGGAGAATGTGAGTATAATGCCTGACTTGGAAAACAAAAATAGATTTGGATACAAGATTTGGTTTTTTCTGTGCATGACAGTTCTTCACATGAAGCATCTGCAGCACACAGCTACACCTGCATGTATATCCTTCAAGTGAATTCAAGTGTAATTCAATAACTCAGTAAATAAATCATTCTGACAGCTGTTCTCCTTAGCTAAATCGCTCTACTCTTTCCTGAACTGATCATATTTTAATAGCTGTCTTCATTTTGGCAAGGATTTTCACAGCCTGGGCCTCTTTAAGTGTGAGGCCAATGCTATGGCGTGACAGTAAATTTAATAATCTCTATACGCCTAATCTCTATATGCCTGTTCCTCAATGTGTGTACGTAGACATGTATTAATTTGGAGAAAGAGATATTAATCCTTGCCTTAAGTAAGAATATTATCCAGGTGTTTCAAGCAATGATCTGGGTGAGAGGAAGGCTGCAAGAGCAACAAGAAAGGACACGCTCCTGGCAATTCATCAGAAAGCTTGTAAGACTGCATTAGTCTCCCTTCTTTGCTCAATTCAGCACCTCTGGAAGTGCCTTCAGGGCCTCTTCTTTAGTGTGTGTTTTCTCTGGTGCAACATGGAGAAATTTTTTGTGAGTTTTAAAGGAGAATAAAGATTAAGTCTTTACGGTGCTAGGAGTCTCTGGATTGAGTTGTAAGTGTATTCTTAAAATTGAGTATGTGGTTACAACTGTAACGTATGTCGATAGAAAGTCCAAGCTCAGTGGAACTCATGGGAACAAACTCCCCTCTGAAGAAATGTGCATGCATGTGAAAGTAATGACTTTCAAAATATTTGGCATTTATGACTTTCTAATAGTTTGTATGATACAATGCTGAGTAGGGAATAGTAATTTCCATTTCCATATCTTCTCTCATCTGGCACTGTTGAGGAAGTCTGAGGTTTTCTTAACGTTGCTGCCCATGTGGTGTGGCTGAAAAGTAAACTTCAGTCTGTCAGGCTTTCCATTTCCACTAATACTTTCTGTAAGCAGTAATCCTCACTCATTTGCTAAAATGGTACATTTAGGCTCCTGTTTTTGTAGGTGTGTACCTATATATCATCGAATCCTCTGCAAGTAAAAGCAGTGAAAGCTATCTTCCCCTTATCTCTTGTGTGATTAGTCACTTACACAAGCTCTGCACAAAGAACTTGAGACTAATTATTTTTCTTTTTTAGTGAATGCACTTTTCTATTAATCACCTAAAATAGTACAAAAGAAGTCTAATCACAGAACTTTAAAATCATTTAGGGTATTTTAGAGTATTACTTAGAGTAAGTAAGAGTTTGCAAACTTCTTTGTAGCTCTTCAGACAGGAGAGGTTTTGCCTTAGTCTCTGAGGCTGCTGCTGAAAAATTGTACTTCTTGAGTAACTACCTACTTTAGGCTAGTATCTTAGAGAATAAACCTAACATTCATTGTCCTAGTGACAGGACAAGGGGTAATGGATTCAAACTTAAACAGGGAAGATTAAGGTTAGACATAAGGAAGAAACTCTTTACTGTGAGAGTGGTGAGGCAGTGGAACAGGCTGATCAGAGAAACTGTGGCTGACCCATCCCTTGGAAGTATTCAAGGCCAGGTCAGAGAGTGCCTTGAACAACCTGGTTTAGGGGAATGTGTCCCTGTGCATGGCAGGGAGGTGGAAGTAGATGATCTTAAGGTCCTTTCCAACTGTAACCATTCTATGAGCCTATGATTCTATGACTGTGCTGCTGTACTAACTCTTCCAGTTTGGCACAAGGCATGTCAAATGATTTTTGCAAAAGAACTTACTCAGGGGTTTCCACCAGGACTGGTTATCAAAACATCAGGCTGTGCTTGCCAGCTGTTGCAAGGATGGTGAGAAGGTCACTGCACCTTTCTTTCCCAGCAGACAGCATTGCTGATCAGGTCTGCTAGGGAACATGTACCCTAGCAGAGAGTACGGCTTCAGAAAAACAACTCCTGGGGCTTCTGTTACAGCAGCACCAGCTATCATTTACCTGAATACAGTTCTCTGGCCTTTGATCCCCCAGTGTTCATGGCTTTTATAAAGCTTCTCACAGTTTTTGAGGCTGCTGTGGGCAAAGTGATGTCAAACCATTGGGTTGTCTTCACAGATACTTTGATCATTAGCTGAAGTTTCATAGCAAGAAAGCAGATCACCACACCTCAGAAAGGTCATGTCAAAGTTTTATGACCTTGTGAATCTTGTAGCTCCATTGCTTATGTCTTAGAAGCTGTAGTGCTGCGGAAAACAGCAATTTTAGCAAAGTTTTAAAATTCCGTATCTTAACTGGGGTTAGGAATGTGAGTTTGGTGGTGGAGTGGAAAACACATACATTGAGCTATTTAAATAATTCATGGCAACTGGTAGAAGGGAATAAAATTCCATTTTCTGTTTTCATGATGACTCAACACTTGACAAATTGTTTTCCCTAGTTCCCAAGGTGAAAGAAGCAACTGCCTTTGGCCCTCTCCCTGCACAGAGGAAAGCTCCAATGTCAAGACCAGAGCAAGAAGGTACATTATTCTTATTCTACAGTATTTATTTTCATGTGTATTGTGTGTTTTCATGACAACCTATGTTAGCCAAGCCAGAATAAGTTAAAAGCCTTTGACATAAAAGGTTTGGTGAGTGTGTTAGACACATTATATGGCCAAAGCACTCTGCCAGTTCCAATGTGAGAAGCTGGTTTTGTGTCCTTTTCAGAACATATTTTAAATGTTTATAAGCCATCCAGGAAGTTCACTCACATTGAAACTTGACTTGTAACTGAATTTCACTTGCAATTTATTTCATATTCACAAAAAAAAATAAAATCATTTCTATAGTCTATAAAATGAAACCATGTTAGGAGAGTGTGCATAGAACACAACAATATGCCAAAGTCCTTCAGGCATATTCTCTTGGTTTTTCCCCTGGTCCTCTGTCAGAAGTCAACAGGAGTTTCACCTGAACAAGACTGAAGAAATATTTACTCTGAATTTTAAATGGCTTGGCTATGAATTTATGACAGTTCCCAACTCATCAGTGAGTCCTGTGAATATCAGCATAAGATGATACGACTTGTTCTTTCTCATATTAAAAAAAAATTGTTGCAAAATCAGTCAGGGGAGCATACAAGGTCTAGGATCTGTCAGTTTATGTACGGAACTTAAGCTTCTGCTATACCTTCGGAAAGTGCTTCACGCACTTTCAAACAGAAAATTTCACTTCCTGTTGGGGACTATAGCAGATTGAGTGTAGTTCTGGTCAAAGCAGATTAAAGGGCACTCCTCCTCTCTCTCCTGGTGGGAAATAGTTTCTCTGTGATGCACCGAATCGTAAAGCTGACTATAAAGACCGGTTTATGAAAGCCACAGGAAAAAGGACAGAAACCAAAAGGGAGTACTGAGAGATAGTATTGATCTGATGCATTTACAGGGCAGTAGCATCCTCTTGGGGAGTAACCAGACAAGTGGGCAGGGGCTGAAATGCTGGGATTGGCTGTAGCTGAGATTATTTTTACTGCAAGTTGGTTTTCACCCCCCAAATATTGACAAATGCTTTCAAATCTTAAAGAAAACAAAACAAAATAGATAGATGTGTTGGCTGACATTAGGGTAAGATTCTGGGGTTTTTCCAGTTCAGAAAGTAGTAGTTTCAGGAACAATGGATTTATACATTAAAACTCTCTAAATGTCATGTACTGTACCTCTGTGTCTCATGATAAAACACATTAAAAGAACAAGAAGTATGCTTCATTCTGAGGAAATTCAGATGGCTGATGCATTATTCTCAATCTGATCTGTCATGGTTGCATTGCACAGTGTTTCTTTCTTTGTGTGTGTAAGATTTTTCTTCCATAGTCATGAAGGCTGTAGTATGCTCTGAGTGACACCCTTTTGCAGTGTACTCTAAAGGTCAACTGATTTAGGCTATTCCCAGGTCCACATTGTATGAGTATCGAGTGCTGACACAAAGGATTACTCTCATGGGAGGCCAGCTTCTCTCTTTCAATGGATAGAGCTGGAGCTCGAGCATCTCAGCTGATTACAGCTACAGCAGTGTAACAAATAGAGGGGAACTCTAAAGTTGGCAGATCCCAAACCATTTATGATGCTTGAGTTCAAAACTAAAACCCCCACAATACCTGGCAATCAGCAGGCACTCAGTATACAGAAGTCACAGCATATAAACTCATGTGCAGAAGTGAGATTGGCAGTAAAAAGACAAAACAGATTTGTCTTTCTTTAACTCATGTAAGTTAAAGAAAGAATTACTACATAAATTTTAATGTTTTGCTTTTCTGCAATTTCATCTAGGTCAACACTATCTGAACTCAGCTTGTATATGATTTTAGAATGACCTATACATTAATAAACAGACTAATAAAGAGCAAATTATTTCTATCAGTACTTACGGTGCAGTGCTCCTCTTATCTCTGAGTCTCCATCGCCAGTTTTGGGGTTTTTTTTTTTTCAGTTGATTGTAGCTTCAGTCGAGGAGTCTGTGACTGGAAACAAGATGCTGATGATGACTTTGACTGGAATCCTGCTGATAGAGATAAAGGTATTCAAATATCTGTCCTCTAGCTATGCTTAGATTTGATGGCTCACCCCTGCCAAAAAAAAAGGGGGACGAAGGAGAAAGCAAAATCAAGAACTAGCTCTCCCATCAATGGGTTATCTTTATAAAAGAAAAAAAGGACCAGAGAATGCTGGGAGTGGAAATTGTTTCTTTGAAATATCCAGTGGCAATTGGTAATCAGCAACATATTTCAACACAAATGAATTAAAAGATGACAAAAATTATTACAATGTAACTGTTCAGAATTGTAAGGTACAAGGCAATGGAAACCTTCTTAGTTATGCATTGTGTCTCTCCAAGACTGGTAGGGCATTTAAATGCACTCCGCCATTTAGATGGATATGGCAATGTAGTCACTCACATGGCTTAGACAGCACTGTGATAACTGCTTGGAAATCTCAAAATCTGCAAGACACACTAGTGACAGCATTCCTCAGAAGGAGCCAAACGCAGGGAACTATTCAATAACAGCTGATACCTGACCTGATACTGACAGCAGGCCTGCTAAAACCTGGGAAAGAGCTCCAGGAGTACAATGTGTGACTGCTGTGCAGGTGTACATGTGTGGTTGAAGAAACTTATTTGAAAGGATGTCTCTTCCCCTGTGACACAGGCAATGTTGCAAAAGCTTCTGCAGTAGGGACCAGTGGATCCTGCAGATCTTACAGGCCACTTGTTCCAGTTCCTACACACACATTGTCTCCCTCTTCCTTCACAGTCTTTCCATCTCAGTCTTTCTTCACTAATCCTTCCTCTCCTTCTCCATATATTTCCTTCTCCCCAAGTTCCTTCTCTGTACTGTAACTTCCAGGGAGACCTTATTCTGACCTTACCCTGTCTTCCCAAACTTACACCTGCTAGTTACGACTTCGTTTATGGGCCCAGATATTTTATCCCTTTATCCGTTTGTGTATATCTGTCATTCCATTGGGCCCCCAGGATTTGTGGAACAAAAATCCATTTATGAGTTTGTCATCACTGTAGAGGACAGTGGAAAGAGTGTTATCTAGCTCAAGTACTAAAAGGATCTGACCACAGAGGCACAGCAGCATGTTTCAGACTGTTGCATTTGGAAAACTGAAATGGTTTTGCCCTTAAAAGATAGTGCAAGGAATAATAACTGTAATTGTCAGTGAAATATGAACTCATCTCCCCTGTAAATTGATCTGACTTCCAGCAGTGCAATTTTATTCCTTGCAAAGTAAGCCTCCTGTTGCTTTTCTCCAGACCGATTTTAAATTATTCAAGTAACACAGCTTCCATGTATTTTCTTAGCAAATATGTATTCAATTTACTAATAATGTACACAAGACCATTAAAGATGCATTTACGGGTTGTTTTTTTTGTTACAAGGCGATGGGTACTACATGGCAGTTCCAGCTTTTGTGGGGCACAAGAAGGATATGGGGCGTCTAAACCTTCTCCTCACCAACCTGAAACCAAAGAGCAGCTACTGCCTGATTTTCAGCTATCGGCTTGCTGGTGAGAGAGTGGGGAAACTTCGAGTGTTCCTGGCAAACAAGAAACCTGCTCCTGTCTGGGAGGAGAACAAAGGAAAAGATGAAAAATGGAGAACTGGAAAAGTAGAGATATTTCAGGGGGCTGAAACCACCAATAGTGTAAGTATAACACAATTTATAAGCCAACTGTCACAACCAACACAACAGCTCAATTTCATAATCCTCAAGTGTTCCACCAACTGTTTTATAGGCATCAATTACTGGCAATTGAAAGGCTTATCTGAAATGGGAAAGAGGAGCACACATTTTAGAAGAGAAAAAGGTTATTATCTGGTTGCAATTTCAGAACTGAATTACCCCAGTTGGTTAGAACACTAATGCCAATAATCCTGTCATTTTGTAGAAAACCTGCATCAGATCATACATTAACACATGCAATCAAAATCTGTCCTTAATATCTCATGCAACAGAGGCATATGTACATGCCTGGAAAAATGCAAATGATCTCTTTCATAGGAGAGGATGCTCTTACGCCACACTAAGTGAGACCATTATAGCAAAAGGAGACATCATATATAAACAAGTGTGGCCAGCTGCCTTAGGATCAGGACAAACTAGCCAACAGGGAACATTGTCCACTAATGTATGCCTGAGAACTGCCTCAATCAGTACATCAGCAAATTTTTTCCTTGAAATTCTAGGGTCTGGTTCTCATTTATGTGACTGAACATGTTCAGTGCTGTGTAAAGGCTTTTACTGTATAATTGAATACTGTCAGTATAAACTAAATGCAACCCCTTCCCAAGGCTCTTTGCACTGCTGGAATGATGCAGAAAAGCCCTTACATGAATGAGAATCAGACTATAAAATAAAAGCCCAGGCATCCTATTCATAAAAATAAATCTATTCTTTCTCTATAGTATACATAGAATCAGAATCATAGAATAGTTAGGGTTGGAAAGGACCTTAAGATCATAAAGTTCCAACCCCCCTGCCATGGGCAGAGACACCTCACACTAAACCATCTCACCCAAGGCTCTGTCCAACCTGGCCTTGAACACCGCCAGGGATGGAGCACTCACAACCTCCCTGGGCAACACATTCCAGAGCCTCACCACCCTAACAGTAAAGATGTTTCTTCCTTATATCCAATCTAAACTTCCCCTGTTTAAGTTTTAACCCGTTACCCCTTGTCCTGTCACTACAGTCCCTAATGAAGAGTCCCTCCCTAGCATCCCTGTAGACCCCCTTCAGATACTGGAAGGCTGCTATGAGGTCTTCATGCAACCTTCTCTTCTCCAGGCTGAACAGACCCAATTTTCCCAGCCTATCTTCATACAGGAGGTGCTCCAGCCCCCTGATCATCTTCATGGCCCTCCTCTGGACTTGTTCCAAGAGTTCCATGTCCTTTTTATGTTGAGGACACCAGAACTGCACACAATACTCCAGGTGAGGTCTCACAAGAGCAGAATAGAGGGACAGGATCACCTCCTTCGACCTGCTGGTCACGCTCCTTTTGATGCAGCCCAGGATACGGTTGGCCTTCTGGGCTGCAAGCGCACGCTGCCGGCTCATGTTCATTTTCTCATTGACCAACACCCCCAAGTCCTTCTCCTCAGGGCTGCTCTAAAATCTCTTCTCTGCCCAACCTGTAGCTGTGCCTGGGATTGCTCCGACCCAGGTGTAGGACCTTGCACTTGGCATGGTTAAACTTCATGAGGCTGGCATCAGCCCACCTCACAAGCGTGTTGAGGTCCCTCTGGATGGCATTCCTTCCGTCCAGGGTATCAACCGAACCACACAGCTTGGTGTCATCGGCAAACTTGCTGAGGGCGCACTCAATCCCACTGTCCATGTCACCGACAAAGATGTTGAACAAGACCGGTCCCAGCACCTATCCCTGACGGACACCACTCGTTACTGGTCTCCAGCCAGACATTGAGCCATTGACCACAACTGTTTGCATGCGGCCATCCAGCCAGTTCTTTATCCACCAAGTGGTCCATCCATCAAATTGATGTCTCTCCAATTTAGAGACAAGGATGTCTTGTGGGACAGTGTCGAACGCTTTGCACAAGTCCAGGTAGATGACATCAACTGCTCTACCCCTGTTCATCAGTTCTGTAGCCCCATCATAGAAGGCCACCAAATTGGTCAGTCAGGATTTCCCCTTAGTGAAGCCATGTTGGCTGTCACCAAGCACCTTGTTGTTTTTCATGTGCCTTAGCATGCCTTTCAGGAGAATCTGCTCCAAGATTTTGCCAGGCACAGAGGTGAGACCGACTGGTCTGTAATTCCCCGGGTCATCCGTTTTCCCCTTCTTGAAAATGGGGGTTATATTTCCCTTTTTCCAGTCATCTTGAACTTCACCTGACTGCCATGATTTTTCAAATATGATGGCCAGTGGCTTAGCAACTTCATTCTCCAGCTTGTTCAGGACCCCGGGATGGATTTCATCAGGTCCCTTGGAATTGTGTACTTCCAGGTTCTTAAGACGGTCTTGAACCAGATCCTCTCCTACAATGGGCCTAGGGTCTTCATTCTCACAGTTCCTGCGTCTGCCTTCCAAGACTTCGGACTAGAGTACATACAGTAAAAATATGTATCAAATATACATCCAAAACCTAACAATCCTAACAAATAGATCAAAAATGAACAGTTGTAATGTCTTCAAGAAATGAAGTGCACTCATAACACACACTGTAATAAAACTTCATTATTATAACAGGATTTCACTCAATTTGCCTTTTTTTTTTTTTTTTTGTACAATGAAAATAAGTAATCTTATTACCAGCATCCATTTGGTATTGTAAACCTGTGCAGAGGATTATAAATCTAGTTCAAATAATGCAGGGAAATTCTAAAAACTGCAAGATTTAAGTCATAAAATTAATCCTGTATTGTCATAAAACATTCCTCAGATATAGCATTATAATTAATTAACATTAGGAATTGCTAAATGGTTGGATATACTACATTTTCATTAATTAATACATCTCTTTTCTTATGACAGGTCACTTTTGAATCAGAACGTGGGAAGGGCAAAACTGGAGAAATTGGAGTGGACAATGTTATACTAATTTCTGGTCTATGCCCAGAAGATACCTGATAATGGATATTTGACTGTACTGGATTTAATACTATTTTTAATATTTGCCTTACTAGTAGTGTATTTTTGTATCATTTTGTTCTTTATAAAAAAAAAACAACAACAACAAAAAAAAAACATAAAAACTGTGCATTGAACTTAATGCACCAATGCAAACAGAAAAACTGACATGTGCAAGATGCAGAGTACACTTTTGTAGGAGTTATTCTAATACACGCTTTGAGGGTACCACTACAGTATTTTATCATTGAAGGTCAGGGTTTCTAAAGTGTTGTCTAGCTTTTTTTACGAAATTGACATGCTTTGATTTCTTCAAGGCTATTCTTAAGTCTTCTATTTCATCTCTTCTACGCTACAAGAACATAAAGCAGTATTTAAGAGGATGCTGGTACTTCTTGTGACGTAATTTTAACTTCTTGCTTAATGTGCAAATTTTCAGTATATGTAACAAGTAAGCAGAAAGAGAAGAGCTTTATTTCCTTCTTGAGGGAGCTAAGCAAGTTCTAAGAGGAGTCCTGTATTTGAGGAATATATTCATTACTAATAAAGTATGTAAAATACTTTGTTTGCCATCAGTGTCTTTGAGTCATGCAATCACTATTTAGAAATGATCCCTTTATAGCTTTATAAGCATTTAATGTTCATTATTAGCATATGATGTAACCAACTGGCACTGAAAAAAAAAAGGTAAAAAAGAATGACCCATTATTAGCACTTACAAAATTTCATCTCATGTGCCTCCAGACTTCAGCAAAAGGGATGGAGACTATCTGTCATCCACAGGAGCAGGAAGGTGAGCAGAATCTTCTCCCACAGACTAGGAGCTGCCACCCCACCACCCTCACCCATTCATACACACACATACAGGTATACACACATATATATATTTAAGGGAGGCCTAGAATCCAGGTTCCACCTTTTATGAAAAGAAGACAACGGTGTGGAGAGCAAACCCATCTTCTTCCATCTTGTTATATTTTCTGAAAGTACCTACTGGTCTGAATTCCAAGAGGACAGAGATGCTCACAGAGAAGCCCTGCTTCAGGCAGTGATCAGTTGAAGTGCACACATACATTTTCCTTTTTGTTAGTTCTATGTATCCCCTTCTAGGTTGACTGCTCACTGTTTATTTTTAGTGATGCTCTTTATTTTTTGTATGAAGAGGACATCCAGAACAACCAAACAGAATTTTATAGACCAACAGTAAAGAGCCTTGAAGAATATAGCCTATATGAGCCCAAGCTTTTTAACAGAAAACAACTACAAAAGTTCAAACACCTTTAATTGCACCTATGAAACAAGCTAGGGATTTCTTGTTGAAACACAGTAATTTTGCACTTTGCACACGGCTGAAGAAAGGATAAGCAGGACTGGAAATGTCTGGAAAGTTCCAGAAGAAAAAATCAGGCAAGATTCCTGTGTAATCTGGAAATGTTTGTTCTTTGTTAGAACTGGTTTGTGTTATGAAACAGGTGCTCTGAGAACTGTACACGGACTTCAGCTTTGACATATGAATTTGTTTCCTGGTGTCTTCGGAGGTGATGAGGAAATTACAGAATAAGGAGTTGAGAAAACCAAACTCTCTTTAATCTTGGGCAAAGACCCTGGGAATTTTACAGCAAGGAGGAAAGCTCCTTCAGTAGCTTTGGATTGGATGCTGACTGTGACCTCAGGATGCCTGAAGAACCTGGTCAATGAGGCAGGAAAGTGAAACAAGTATTTTTCTGTATGTGCTCCTCCTTGGCTGACTGTCTGAACTATTCTTAGTGAAGACTAAGAGAATGTAGTCAAATTCTGTGTCTAGCTTCAAACAGCAACAATTTACACATACACAGTGCCCCTAAAGCCTAAGAAGCCCATGAATTGTTACAGTCTTGAGCATTACAGTGCAAATTATATATCTGAAATACATATGTGGAGCAACTAAGTCTACCTTAAAAGGCACAGCTAGCCATTTCTTGCATATGCAGTTATTTGGCATGGAAAGATAAATACTGTTTCTGTAAAGCATAACATCTAAATGTTATTTGCTCAATACACAAACAATAGACAGTAAACACAAAGGATATGGTCAGATATGGAGCCAAATATGCTCCATATTATTCATTGTTGGTTAAATTGTAGTCCACCATGACTAATGACTGTGACAACTGCTTTAGTAGTTTTGGATGCATTCCATCCAAAAGACAAGATAAGAAAGGAAGATTTTTCATTTCATGGAACAAGCAAGAAAATTATTTGCATAGATCAGCAGAGAGTGCAAAAGCTACCATAAGGCTTTCTGTAGGAGGTGCAGAAGTTGTTTCTCATTTATTTGCAATGGGTTGTGAGATAGCTTGCACCACAGCAGGTCATAAAAATTATTCTAGTATAATAAGACCTGAAGAGCAAAACTGAAACCTTTTTTGTTGTGAATAAATTCAAAGATAGCTTCTGCAGAAGCAACAAAATAAATTCATTATGTAGATACATTCACATAAATCACATCGGCGCATCAGCAAATTAACTGGTATTGTTTGCAACATTCATTCAGAAGATTCAACTGCTCAGAGCAAAAGCTACATTTCTCCTTCAGATGAAAAGTTAAAGGGCATATTATGTTCTACATTCATTAACATCTCAAAATGTTCCTGACAGTTTTCCATTACTGTGAAATATGAAATTCATTATCTGCTTGATTATTTTAGACAGCAAGGAAACTGCACTAGGAGTATTCAAAAGTGTTACAAGTATGCTATAATCAAGTGGCTTTAACTTTGATAACATCATTTGCAACTTTTAAGTCTGATAATAAACACTGGAAATGGTACTCTGCCTACAGGTTAGTGGTAAAAAATTGCTTCTAGCTAATTACTGAAATCTATACTACATCCTTCAAAAACTACTCAACAGATGTGCTCACTTAATCTTGAATATTGAATAACAAAAGGTTTTGATCACTTTTCTTCAATTGCCAAAAGAATTAAAGGAGACATTTCATTTTGTGAACACATGGAAATGATGAGGCATGTTCCCACGAGGCGATTATCTTGTACCCTGCAATTGAAAGAAACTTAAAACATTTTCCAACTTTTAGATGTTATTTTTATACATTAAATACGGATTCCCCCCTGCAATTTTTCAGATTAAGACAATGGAGAGTGCTTTCAGTAACTGATTGACACTCATATTTACTTCATAATTGCTATATTTTTTATATGCAGAGTCATATACCTGCATGTACTGGAGGTATTGAAATTCATTACATTACATTAATGAAAAAATATATAACAAGAAAGCATGGATAATAACTTACTCGGTCATATGTGTGGTGTTACATAAAAGCTTATAACAGCAAAAGCTTTTTGATGGGAATGAATTTCTAATTTTGATAGTTATTAACCTCTCAAATACTTGACTTTAAAGTTTGATTTCAACACGTTCAGTCTCACTGACTCTCCCCCTTCCAACCGTCAGCTATTCAGGAAGCACACATTATAGAACTGTTGAGAGAACACGGATTGTTAATTTTTTATTTGGGGAATATTTAGTCTTCAGTGATTCAGTAAAGCGTGAAAGCATGACTGAATGTTTTAAGGAAACAGCCCAATACTCTGTCTGAAAATCTCTAATTTCTTAATGTTTCTGCAATGAATTATACCAATTTCCATTTCATATACACCCCTGCCAAGAATATTCTCCTTGGAGAGATCTGAGAAATAATTTCAATAGTGATCCTTTTATGTATTCCGACCTAACATTAATCCTACATTTAAAGTGTTTTATTAATTTATTTTATATTAAATAAAAATATGTCAAAGCTAAATATTATCTAGAATAATACAATTTATGATAGACAGTTAATGCATCTGATACTAACAGAAATAAGGTCTGAGTTAAAGGAAACAGCATTTCCCTAGACTTGCCTTAAAATAACATTTCATTCTTTTTTCTTCATATACTTCTTTTTGCTTCCATGCAAAGATGGTGCTTCAACAAGTTGGATGGTGTGCAAGAGCAACTCCAAGCACTGCCTCAAATGATTTCCAGGACGAGTTTATCAGTCAAAAGCACACCCAGGAGGTAATTTGCATGCAGCAGCCCCACTTTTTGTAGCATAGAGGAGGAGGTGCCATATTTAATTTCCTGCTGTTCCCTCTGCATGCAGACAATAACAAAGTTAGCAGCTCAAGCATGCACTTTAAATCTTCTTCCAGAGTTGACTGCACTGCTCCATTGCTTTCTGCTTGCTGTACATGGAACATCAGTGCTTAATTTTGATGCCCAAAATCTGTTCGCTGAGCTGGAAACCTCTGGGGTGTCCAGTAAATATGACTTAGGCAGGTAATGCAGTCAATCAGAATTTGCCCCTTTGTTTCAGGCTGATAGAAGTTTAAATCTATGTTTTGATTCACTGCAGTTTATTACAGTTACTCTAATCTCTGTGCTTTGACTCATTGCAGTATTTCAGTTTTATTGCTATAGTTGATAGCTTAATAAGTGGTATTTTTGTGTACTGCATCAGGAGTTGTCTTCTCACCTGAAAATATGACTCAATTTACAATGATATACCATAAAAACCCAGCAGTCATGAACATGATAAAACGATAGAAAACACTGATTAAAAAACTTTGAGAAATACATGCCATAAAGTAATAAGAAACATTGTATTTCAAAAACACCCCGAAAAAAATTACTCCCTCAAGTAATAATTTTATTCTAGACTAAGTAATGTTCACAGCAGGTTTTAAAAGTGCTAGAGCAGGTCTGTACTCAAGAAAGTCACATGCTCACTTACAGTGAATTATTCATTAGCATCACCTTCCTGCCCAGGATGTAAAGATACGGCAGTCCTAATTTTCTTTATGTTCTTGGAAACTGCCAGAATGTTAAAGGAGTCACCTTTTCTAGAGGCAAGGGGGCACCTGCAGAATGGCCCAACTATGCCTGCAACTGATTAAAAATGTGAGTGAAAGTGTGAATAGCAAGGTGGCAAAGTTTGTCTTCATGGTTCAAACCCATGAAACTGAAAGGTGATTGCAAAGAATATTGTGATACTGGGTGACTGTGCACAAAACTGGGATGGGAAAATAAATTGTGGATGGCTGCAAAGTAATGGACCAGGAATAAATAATCTTTATATCTATATAGTCAGTTGCTCCAATTTAGCTACTAACTATAAGGAAAATGATTTGACAATGACTGCATTTCCTTTGAATTGCTCTGCACTAAAAATAACCAAAATAGCAGATCATTCATGTAAATGCCCTACGTCCAGACCCAGTTCCCATCTATTTTTACTATATTTCCTGTACTGACATTGCTGTCCACC